AAGGATCCTAAAGGTTTTGGACGAAAGGGTAAAGCTTAGCCCTAGTTTCATTGTCCCATACGAGATTGTTGAAATCGTGTAGGAACCATAGCCTACAGTCGCCTTAGCGTTACCTTCAACCTTAGATCGAATTCATAATGTCTTTTCATGTATCAATGTTATATGTATATCATGTATTCTATGTAGCCCGATCGCACGTGTTATAGAGCAGAAGAGATTGAAATTCCCCAGCGGGATCTCACCTATGAAGAAGAAACCAGTTTCAGATCTAGCCATAAGAAAAGAAACTAAAGAATTGCGGAACAATGAAAATAGCATTGGTACAAAAGTTCTTTGGAGGAGATCCGATAAGACAGAAGAAGCAACTTGGGAATCTGAAGAGACCATGCGACAAACAGTATCTCGGCAGTTGTTCACAGCAGGTAAACTTCGGAACGAAGTTTTTATTTAGGAGGGAGATTGGAGCATCCTACGAGTGAGTCTTGGCATAGAGTTGAGTAGTCGAGTTGAAGTCGAGTTGAACCAAACCGGGTGGGGTAGAATGGGTTTAGTAAGTGATTACTTGTAAGTGAGAGAAAAAGATCGAAAGCATATGGGTTGAGGATTGATTTGCATTATAAAGATCAAGCTTGGGTTCTTTAGTAGTGAAACCTGTTTGACAATTGAGGGTACCATTTAGAACTTTTTACAGAGCCACAAAGTCCATGGAGATCTTTTAGAAGCCTACCGTGCAATACCATTCAACTTTCCATTTTTTCATCTTATCTTCATCTTCTTCAATTTTCTCCTTTCCTCTTCCACCTTCCTTCAATTTATCATGGTAGTTTAAGCTTTAACTCAACTTTTCTTCTATCCAAGGTAAAGTAAAGCCTTCTCTTGAAGTTCCATAACTGAATCATTTGGTGCTATTATTTTAGAAATTCATAAGAATTCTTCTTATAGGTGAAAGGGAAGTTCTAAGATTGTAGAAAAAAAGAAGTTAAAGAAGAACTCAAGCTTTTTGGAGTAAAGTGTTTTGATATTCTCTTTTCCCTTTACCAATTTTCCTTTGTATGAGATTTTGTGTGGTGTGATGCTATTGAGACATATTGCTTTATGTTGAGTGGGAGGAACTGGGTAATGGGTGAGAAAACAGGGGAAAACAGGGGAAAGTAATGAATAAAGAAGTAAAGAGTGAGTTTTTATGCTGAAACAGGTTTTGCTGGAAATTTTAAACAGTAATTTCATCTTGATTTTGACGCCATTTAAATGATGGAAAATTAGGAAGTGTCTATAGAAGGAGTCTATTTGTTTCCTACTATGTGTTAGCTTTTACATGGGTTTTTTGAATCATCCAAATCGGAGTTGGTAATATTGGAGAGATATGACCAAAAGAGTAACAGACTGTGCAGGCTAGAAAACGCGAAGCGCGCCGCGCGAATCGCATGAAACGGCTCAGCGTTGCTCTTCGCGCGTCGCGATTTTCCCAAGTGCGGCGCTCAGGCGACTTTTGTGCTCGCAGATTGGAGAAGCTCTCTGACTCTCAATTTGCACGATCTCGCCTCAGCTGACTTTGAAGTACGGCGCTCGCCCTAGTACTTCGATTGGCCCCTTTGCCTGTAAGCGCTCGCGAACCTTCATCCGCGCGCCACGCGAATTTGGCTCGCGGAACTCACTGTCTCTCATTTGGCACTCCTCGCGCTCCGCGAAATTTCAAGTACCGCTCGCCGAACTTATGTGCCCGGATAACTCACTGTCTCTCATTTGGTGCTTTACGCGCTCGGGACTTTCAGGTACGCGCTGCAAGACTTGTGGTTTTCATGCATTTTTGGAACTCATTTTCTGCAATTGTAAATTCCTTCTCTGCTTCACTATATCTCCAATCACCTCCTTAAACATCAATACAACATTAGAACATGTATCAAAACAACAATTCAAACATGCAAAATGATGTGAAATCAAATAAACATTATGATTAATGAAGTTATGAAACTATGAATATGAGGTTGTGTGATATTATTGACCATACAACATTATGCCTCGCGGATTGAAGGTTAGGTAGAAACCATGTAAATAAGGCTATGTCGCGACATAGGAATAGCAGAATCTCACCTCATACAGTTTGTACTCCGCGCGCGAGCGGTGAGTGGATATGATTATATAATGGGCCATAAGCAGCCAAGCATACAGTATTCATACCAGTTTCATAACAGTTTTTTCTTATCAAGATTTCGGTTCACTATAAGCAAGAGCCATACAGATATCTTAACCATAAAACATTTCTTGAAATTATACAGTATTATAAACAAGTACAAAAGATAAAATCAAGGTAATCATGAAAAGTATCCATGATGTGTGGTGCTTATATGTGCCATATGAGTGTTTACATGATACATGTAATGTGTTTAATTGTTCTTTATCTGTTTGAGATATCCACTGAGCTTTATTTGCTCCATTCGAGTTACCTGTTTAAACTCGCAGTTTTGAGATTGGACCGTAGAGAGTCAGCTTACAACTGGCTGCAATTCATTGCAATAGAAGACTCCAGTCTTCCAGGGCGTAGCTACGCATTTTAATATGTATCTTTGGTCTATCCCTTTTCATGGCATTAACCAGGGCATAAACATGTTGGGCCCATCATTTGAACACTAAGTATCTGTTTTGTAAATAAGATAAATTATATTATTTTTGTATACAAACAATCAAAGATGCTAATTGATAACTTTCATCATATCCATTATGATTTTCATCAATGTCTCGGTTCGTTCATTCGGGTTTACGGGTGGACCGGGAAGGGGTGTTTTACAGTTTTCTGCTACATTGGCGCTTAAGAGTAATCATAAAAAATGATATTATATATATTATTGAGTATTTGATTATCTTTTTTTGTGAATTTTTGAGCAATTTCTCTTTTTTTATTAACTTTTTTCTCTTCCATAAATTTACTTTTCATAATGAATTGACTTTTCATTTTTTGTGAGTTTAAATTCATTCAATGGATGGTATAAAAAATTTAAAATATTTCAATATATTTTTTAGATTTTCATAATTTAACATATAATAATAAAAGATTTTTATTAGTTTTTAAAATTCAAATCAATGATATTTTTTTTTGGTAGAAAATGCAAATATGTGATAAAAAAAAATAATACATAGTCTTAAATTTTTTAGATAATTTAAAAATATAAAAATTTTATTTTTCATAGTCTAAACTTCAAAAATCAAAATATAGTATGTTTAAAAATTTTAAGTATTTGAAAATGTTAAAAAAAACCATAATGTTTTCAAAAAATACACATCATAAAATATAGTTCAAAAACAATAAGATAAAATAGTGAGTAGTATTCTTTTTTTTTCTTTTTTTTTTTCTTTGTTTATTAATTAATGAATTTTTAATTTTTGAGTAAATTATAAAAGATACTTTTTTTTTCTCTCATGATAAGTTTGAATATTTCAAGTCGAGCCAATATTTGGATCTTCAAATTTAATTCATTGTTTACTATGATTAATATCGAATTTATCATAAAAAAACGATTATCTATATGATTTTGATTAATTAGGTTGATATGAAATTAATAAGTTTTAGCTTTTAAAAATTTTTTTTTGACCGATCTTGAGAAGTTATATATATAACACTGGAAAAGTTCAAGAATTCTCTTTTTGTTCACTTATTCTATTTATTCTTTTTTTTTTTATTTTTAAATTTTTCTTTTATTGGTTGAACGAGCTTAACTTAATTAATTTAATTTAATTCTTTAGTTTTATTATCGGTTAAAAAAAAAGAATATTATGACATTCATTACTGTTGTTTGAGTGTTTACTTGATTTTGTTTTTTTTTCATTTTATATTTGCTTAACTTAATTTTGTTTTGTTTATTTTTATAGCGATTTAAAGTGTGTGCAGGTTTCAAAGATTTATATATTTATGTAATGATGATTAATTTATTACTCGCTTTTAATATATTTTTTTAATTATATACTTCCAATTCAGATTAATACCATCAAATAAAACTAATTATTTATTATTTTAAAATAGCCTACAAGAACTTTATATAGTACATAATTAATTCTAGGTCACTTTTTCTTGTTGTTTACTTGATTTTGTTTTTTCATTTTATATTTGGCTTAACTTAATTTTGTTTTGTTTATTTTTATAGCGATTTAAGTGTGTGCAGTTTCAAAAGATTTAATATATTTTATGTAATGATGAATTAATTATTATGTTTTAATATATTTTTTTAATTATATACTTCCAATTAGATAAATCCATACAAAAATAAAAACTAATTATTTAAATTATTTTAAATACCTACAAGACTTTATATATAATAATAATTCTAGTCACTTTTTCTTTAAAAAATGAATTTCTATAATTTACTCAATAAATATATATTACATTTAAAATGAAAATTATAAAATAAAATAATTATTATATAATCGTGCGCACTGAGAATTGCCTAATAAAATAATAAAATATAACCCATTCCCCTAAATGATGGACAAGAATCCAACTCCTCACTCTGTTTCGTCTTCTTCGATTGGCGCATTCGTACCATCCAAAGGAGCATCCGACCATCCCAAGTATGCCCTCGAGCAAGTACTATTGGTTTAGTGCTCCACTTTTGTATCTGCCAAACTCTCTATTTGCAGAGAAAATACATAAAAGCTTGTGATGTGATTTGAAGTAGAGTGATGGAACGAAGAGAAAGACGAAGGAAAGGAACATGAAACGCAGAAATACAAAAATACACAGAGGAAAGGAAAGGAAAGGAAAGGAATGATAGTGTTAAACAAAACCTATTATTGTAATTTACTAAAACACGTATAAGTTATTTATCTAATCTTTATGATGCTAGAGCAGTAAAAGTCTTCTATAAAATTCAAATTCAGTATGTATATTACTTTCACGCTCCACAATACTTGACTTCCCCCGTTGCAATCTTTTGTTTTTTTTTTTAAGCGCAAGATTGATATTGATAAGACAGAAAAAATGAGGTGGAAGACCAAGAAGAAGAAGACACTTTCATGCAAAACTCTGCACAAAATCATATTTTTATTGAGGAACTTAGCACCTTAAAGGATGTACAACTTCTCTCTACAAAAAGAATTTTGTGACCAAATGGGAGTCCGCAGCTATTGCCCAAACTAAGAAACAAAAATAACTCTCCATCTGATCATACAAAAATAAGACGCCCACAAAAAACCTACTTGTAGTTCCCAATTACTATCCTGAAAGAATCTTTATATACACATCTTTCACCAAAATCTTAATTCCTCTATATTTTCCTTTAACGTCTTTTTCTTTCCCTGAAAAAACAAATACTAAAAATCTCTATTACAAAAATTCAAAAAGCCTCACCACTTACGCAAAATTCCCACCTGCACCAAAATTAAGACCTCAGCTCCTCTTCGTGCAGCTTTAATGTATTTTGTAAATAGGTTTCTCAAAACCCGGAGGGAAACTGTTGGCGTGCTCACCATTGTCCTTCTGAACGCCTATGTTTGTGCCAACATATTCCACCGCTCCTACCATATCTACTTCACCTGTTTCCTTGTTTTGACAAGATGGTAAAGTTTCTGAAATTCTACCATTAGAACACTGTTTTGCATCAGTATTTTCTCGTGACAAGATATTTTCTGGCAATCCATTATTATTGACTGTCTGAACCTCAATATCTCGCATGAGGGGTGACATTTTCTTTGCACCATCGCGTTGATCTATTCTTTCGGTCACCAACACAGTCTGATCTGCATTTTTAACAACTTGGAGCTTTCTCTTCTTCAATTTATTTTTAAGAAAGGAAGCAAGAGTGATATCATCCTCATCATTCTTACCAAAAACCTGCTTAGAACAAGATTTGCTCTTAGGTTTTGACTTTTTGTGGCCATTTTGCTGACGAGGAACCAACACAACCGATTGGCCTTCTCTTGATGGTACAGTACTTGTCTTACTCGAATAGATGCCATCCAAATAAGACTTCTCAACATTTTTGCTACTATTTACCCTTAATTCTGAACTTCCAGGAGGCAATATTAATCGGTTCACGCTATCAGCTGATTCTATAAATATTTTCCTTTCTTGGGGTTGCTTGGTGAACTTCTTGCTGCGAGCATCAGGCTTACCAGCTGCATCATCCTGTTCATCATTGCTTGTTACTAACAAATTAGAATCCAGGTGATTAGCAGCCAATACAGGAACATCCATTACAGCTCCTGATAACATATCACACTCTTCGCTGAAATTAGTGGTGGTACATATGTTTGTCCCAGAATGTTCATCAGCTCTTTTTTCCTTGCATGACGCTGCACGAGTCCCCTCAAAGGTCTGAAAACCATCAAAATTTGTTGTTCCTAATTTCGAGTTTTCAGGCTGTGACGTAAGATGACTCTGGTTGTTGGTGTCAATAAGCTTATTTCTTTTTCGATGAGATTCAGGAAGCTTTTTTTTCTTTCTAGCATCAGTGCCTGTGCCACCAGTTACCACCAAAGGTGTTGAAACAAAATTTGATGGTAAACCATCTTTAGCTGGTTCAGTAATATTCTTTTCTGAACAACATTTCATTCTTCTTTTTGTCACAACAGTACCAGTCCCACCAGATTTCTCAACCTCAGTGTTCTTAGTTCCCCCAGGCTGTTCCACAGAGGAAGTTGTAATTCCTTCTTCAGATCTTTTGGATCTACGCCTCTTTGAAATATGCCTGCATTCCATGAGGGAAAAAGAAAAAAGAAATTCAATGCGGACTCAAACTACAGCAAAACCTGCAGATGCTGAAATGGACATTAATTCTCAATATAACAATGACATGAACAAATATTTTGATTTTCACAACACAAGAAACATACTACTAAAATCACTGAAAGGATGGCTTACCTAGGTGGAGTAGTTTTATCCTTCCTAGATACTGTACCTTCTCTGCAAGAATGGAAGGCAGCAAATCGATTAAAGTACGCAACGAAAAGAAGAAAACCATTTGATGTCAAAAAACAAGAACAGAAATATTTGAATATTATACCTGGTTTTCCTTTTTCGCTTCTTCGATTGGTCAATATTTTCAGGTTTGGATATTGATTCTATTATTGGTAATGGAAGGAAATCATGAGGACCAAGGGCAGGCCGCTCTGCCTCACGGTCCACAAAGTTACTTATAGTCGCAGCTTTCTGTGTCCTTCTAGCTGCTTGTAGCAAAGGCACTTCATCTGGAAATAACGCCTTCCATCTCCTGGTTATATGCAGAATTGAAGGTCAAAATGAAGCCCAGACAAACTTCGCACAGAAACTGTAAATAATATAAACTTAAGATTATTCAGGTATTGAATCCAACCACTTGGATTCAAACTTAATACCTGCGACATTGGCTATCTGTTCGCGATGGGAGATGTCTAGCAACCTTGGCCCAGCAGTATCCATGTTCTTCAATTGCTGTTTTTAACCTTATATCCTCCTCTTCAGTCCACTTATCCATATTCAAAGAAGGATCTATACAATTAGACCATCTGCCACAACAATAAAATTCATAATTTGGACATATCAAAGAAAGCTAAATCACCTTTGAGATTATTCAATGATACCTTTCTCTACATTGTACATCCGCTCGGCCTGGCACGAACCTAGCTATATTCTTCCAATTCTTTGGACCAAAAAGCATCACAGCTACTTCCAGACGTTTGCTTTCATTCAGAGTCCACCTCCCCATTTTGTTTGGACGAAGGGATTTCCTCCATCTGCATATAATGAAATATCACGCAAGCACAAATCATTTTACCAACTAAACTTGAAAGCTATAAAAGAATAAAAGTATCATTTAGCATTCAGCAGACAAAGTTCCAGCAACCATTTCAGTCTAGGTGCAATGCCTATTAAACCTTGGGTATGACACCTGAGTTTCATAATTTACTGTCTACAGCAACTTTTCAAGTGTCAGACTTGGACTCAGACAGCCTCATATGTCATATCTATCTTTTTATGCTTTTGAATCAACAAAACAATTGGTCCTAAAACTGCAACCAAACCGCATCAACTTGTCATTTAACTTTATATTTCTTTCCTTTCGGATGAAAAGAAAAATAGAAGCTACACCAAATCAGATTGCAATTAGCTGTCTCAGTCCAGACCTGAAACTCAAGCTGATATTTTATAATTTAGATCTTGGTCCAGCTAACCCAATTGTCACACCAAATATTTTGTATAAGCCCATCCATTATGAACCGAATACACATATATACATACATAAATATGTGTGTGTGTGTGTGTGTGTGTGTGTGTATTCCACTTCACAGGCAACTCAGGCCAGGCTTAACCACCCTCCCACACTGCAGCAAAAAACAAAAAATCCCCTCCCTGGCCAGAAAAGAAAAACATTCCATGAGCAGATAGAATATTAGTAGTGGTTTCAAGAAACCTCTTTTCGAGGTATTATATTTTGGTTGGTCAAATCAGGAATTTCTTAAGGTCATAAACACCAAAAGAAACCAACAAATGCCTTGAGGAACTTCAAGTTTTTTGCATCAACAACTAAAAGGCTTACTCAAAATTATGACACCATAAATTTTTGAAATGAGAAGCGACCTATTCGAGCATTGAGGACCAGTCCGTCCGGCCAAAGTAGAAGCCACACTCTGCCAATCATTTTCACCATAAATTTCAACAGCGACACGAAGTTGAGCATCCTCTTCCTTTGTCCACTCTCTTTTTAATATGCGAGCATTCAAACTCCTCTGGAAACGTTCTAAGCACTGAAATGGGGTCCTATTAGTTCCTAGTGAAACTGCAATATCAAACCAATTGGTCATCCCCTTTTCTTGGACAATAAACAAAAGCTTCTTATCCTCTATGACAGTCCATTCATTGTTATTGATCAATGGATCTTCACAATTCAACCACCTGCAGAAATAATAGTTTGCATCAAATAAAGTATGTAAAGTAAATCAATTCAAGTTCACATGGTGAATGGATTGGGGATAAGAAAATGTGAGCGTCACAGACATCTGATGACAATCATCACCAGATGCAATCAACACCACTGTTTTGAGTAAAGCATGTGTTATTTATGGGTCGCACCTTTATGACCTGTGCTAACCTTGAACTTTTTACCCAAATCCAATAATGGTAAAGATGTATGTGATGGTAATCGTCCTAGACGTCTGCAAAGCTAGCTTGATTGAAAGGCAGGTGCTTCACAAAAAATCAGTAAACATGAAAACACTAGTCAAGAACCAAACCAAGTCAGACCAGAGCATATTGAAATAACAACCTAGCAATCTCTAATCAAGAATTGCAAAAATAGCGATGAGACGCAAAATATTAAAAAAAAAAACCCTAGAAAAGAGCATGTGATGCTTGGTTTTAGTAAATTTACACTCTACAGTGAACAAAGTGTAGAATCACACATACAGAATTTATTTATATACTTAATGATCATTTATACAATCATTTTATGCCCAGGGGGTAGGCCTCATGGTATATGACGTTAAATTAGTCATCACAATGCCACCAAATGTACATGTGTATCTACAATAAATTACGACCAACCATAGTATGCATGCTTATGCCCAGACAAGAGATCCAACTGAATGGAAACAGCTCTCACCATGCATTGTGTTTTAAACACTCACAGGTCCCAAGATCTTCTTCTAAGAAAAACTTGGGTGTTCTAAGAAAACAAGTTCATCTGATGAGCCAAAATTTGGTGTGCAAGCTAGTATAGCCTTTATAATTCAGACCTGCCATTATACAAACTATGTAAAGGACTCGTTTGTGTATATATTGTTTTACAGATCAGTCTGTACAATCTCATAATTCTTTCCGTGGCTTTTTGCTTTATAAACTGACAAATTTAATAATATAATCTTTATATAACACGCACCACGTTTCAAGTGAATCAAATATTAATAGGATATTCTACATTAATATGACACTTTTATTCACAATATTTTTACTAAAAGGTGGAAAAATAGAGAGTTGTTTAGATGAAGAACTTATAAATATTCAGTAAGCTTGAAATTTAGTTTAGGTAAAAAATTTTCCCTATTTTACTTTGCTTTTTAATGTGAAAAGAATAAATATTGAATATAGAGGATTCATATAGCAGACCTTAACTAGTTTGGGACTAAGGCGTAGTTGTTGTTATTGTTGTTGTTGTTGTGGTTTCAAATCCAACAATTCTAGTGTTTCAAGACAATGTAAAAGTTTGAGGAACTTAGACGTGTTTAGTTGATTTTTTTTGATATTGGATAGGCAAAGGTTATTGTGAGATCATGAACACATTAAGTATTTGTGTTTAGCTTGGCTTTTGAGTCGGTCAGACATACTTTAAAGTAAAAAGCCCTATTAAAATAGTGTTTGGCCTGACTTATAAGTAAAAAGATCTGCTTAGAATAAGTCAAAAGTCATAAGGTACCCCTTAATTATCATGATTTACTTATTTTACACCTACTTTTGGTCAAGTGAAAAATTGTATTATCCTAATAAGTTTTAAAAATGCCATCACTACCCTCATTTTTTAACAAACCCTTAGACTTTCTATTTTAATTATTATACAATTTCGGTAATTATGACAAAATAATGTCTTCCTAATAAGGAAATGAAGCATGCAAGAAAACTATCTATTAGTACTACAGCTATATAATTCCTCAACTTCAAGGCTCTCTTCTTTCTCCCTTCACATCTCAAAAGATAGCGCAAGGTATTACATTAAAAAAAAAAAAAATTACTCATCTGCATAAAGTTCTCTTCCAAGCCTACTTTTCCTCTAATTAAATCTTATACTACTCAAGGAAGGTCCAAATTTGACTATTCCTACAGCTGTTTCACAACACCCACCAAAAGAAAAAGAATTGCATAACAAGCTTACGCATAATCAAAAGTCTCGAACAAAGCAAGTCCATAGTAAATTAAAAATCTTTTAAGATCCAAAGCATTAAACCAAGTCTTTTAAAATACACAGGACCAACAGTATGCGTCATTGATGCACTAATGAACTTCAAGTATTTCAAAACCAAGTTTTCATTGCTGAAAAAAATTTTGATTGATTTAGACTTGTAATTATATTACTTAAACTGTGTAATATCAATACATCTTCTAAAGAAGAGCCATTCCTTTCTAATCATCCATTTCCATTATGCATTCAATAGTAACCAAACGAAACAATCAAAATTGTGAAGTTACCACAATCATATTATAGCTCTAGCTTAATATATCAGAAGTGACCCTATTGCACTAGCCTTGTGGTAATCCTGTACCAAGCCTGGTAATCCTATGCAAGCCTCCCTAACCTTCACCTTGGGCCCTTAAACCAAGACACATGATTTTAACTCCAAGGAATTGCAATTCAAGAAGATGAGAATACTTGAAAACAAGTGATGAATAGCACCAGGCTTTCAAACATTATCTGCTGCACTGATGCATATGAAATTCATCTATCTAACAGTATCAGACTATGGTACATGAATTTTTCAAAATTTCGCAAAAAATTGCTTTCAATTTTGTTTTAAGTAATCATGCAGCAAGTAAATATTACTGACAGTTAAATTATTAATTAAGTACTAATAAATGACTTAAATAAAGTATGTGAATTATATTATTCATAAAAGTAACTATTAAAATAAAAGTCTAATAACAAAAAAAAAATAAATAAATAATTGACAATTACAATAAGCTATTAAATAGAGTACTTACTGTGCTTCACACTCTGCACCAGTACGACCAACAACGTACAAGGAAGCTAATCGATCCCAATCAACCTTTGGAAGAAACTCTCTGATGCTTTCCGGTGTAATTTCCATCTCTCCAATTGATGCAAGAATGGCATCCAAATTATTTGCATTGCTAGAAGATCCTTCTGAACAACTTCAAAAGAAAGTGTGTCGGGAAAATATTCATCAGAAACAAAATCAGAAGAAAAACATCCTTTACCAATGCCTAAAAATAATCTGTAATTCTGTACATATCTTATGTCATCAGAAGTTACAAAGATGAAACAGAGACCTCTACCTTTCTCATAAAAAAATTCATAAATCAAATTTCTACATTTTTTCTCCAATATATTGGAAATAAACCGTGCATGGTCTAAAGTCACAAAGATTTTCTGACTTAAATGCAAAACTACAAAGGACAAGCATCTTTTCATCAAGACTGATGTTTTTTTTTTTTTCTTTTTTTATATTCAGCTCAGCATTAATATCATACTGTCACAACAATTAGCTATTTTTCTTTGGTGATGATTCAACTGTTTGACTAATATTTCACTTGAGAACGAAGTGAATTTTCATGTGTATATATATTTTGGAATTTCTGAAAATGAGGAGAGAATGAACACATATAGGAATGTGAAAATATACCTACTGGGGAAAGTAATGAGAAGTAAGACATTTGAGATGGATTGGACATAAATGTTGGAAACTTGACAAATGCATCAATACCAAAGTAGCAAGCACATTTGATAAGGCTAACTTCAACCTTATAAATAAAGAATTAAGGCAGAAAAAACATCAAATCTTAACATAGTTCTGCAAGTTTGATAATGGAGATTAAAACGATGCATCTGTAAATTGGAAATTGAAACTTCCAATGTGTTTGAACATACCTGAATTGATCCACTGAAAACTGAAGCACCATTTCTTGAAATTGTTGTCTAATCCCCTTTCTAAGGTTTTCCTTTTCTACTTCTGTCCACTTTTTCCGATTCAAGGTAAGAGGAAAAGTGGCCAGCGCCGCTCTATAATTAGCAGCATGAGAATTTTCTGCCGGACCATTATGCATAGCAGAGAACTTTTGTTCATTGATCTGAATCAACAAATGTGTCCTTCGTGAAGTTCAGGCCATTGAAATTCAGAAATACAAGACAACATTTAAATAATCCAATTTAGAGACCTCTGAAAAACTCAAGCTACAAATAGAACATCATACCAGTTGCCAACACTTAAACACGTATGACTAGAACCAAGGTTGAGGCACAAGTGCAGAGAGGAAAAAGCTTCAAGACAATACAATAACTTTAATTGGAAATTAATTGACCAGAAGAGCTCCTTGATCCTCATTAAACACTGAGAACATCAAATTAACTACAAGAAGAGTGGTACTGTACTAGATATTACTGCCTGGTGTTGAACATTAAGGAAATTAAAAGGAGAAATAAAAAAAGTAACATTTCCATACTATTCAATTAGTTGATATATTTTATAACTACTAACAACTAACATAGGGACAAAATAAGTTATATAATTCATTTTCATTCAGTAAGCAACATTACATATAAAAATAATTCAGAAAGTGACCTTATCTCTTCTTGCAGTTATCAATTGAATTCTAGGATCCTTCCCTTGCGCCAGTGCTCTTCCAGTAATTTTCCTGCATGAAGCTTGAAAATCTCTAAGAATTTTAACACGTTCTTTCAATTTCTTGTTCTCCTCGATTCTTGCTTCAATTTGAGCCAACTTACTTCTTAAGAACTTCTGATAGCATCTGTTCCTCTTAATTGCATCAACAAATACCTGTGCAGACTTTGGGAAACTGGAAGAATCCTTTAGTACCCAAGATGGCTTACAGGTATCCTGCTCAGCGGAGCCGGACAGATGTATCTCACTCAATAAATTGGCTGTATTTACCCCTTCTTCAGTATTTACTAACACTTCACAATCTCTCCTACCGATCAATGAATCATTAGAAGTATCTATTTCTGAGACTAGAATTGATGATGCCTCAATGCTACCTCTTTTCTCTAGCAAATTCTCCTCTCCCCTTCTCAAAATATCTAAAAAAAAAAATGTAAATCAATATAATTGATAAGCATAAATGAGGTATCTTTCTATTCAATTCTTATTTCTTGTAAAAGAACAGAAGCTTTTCGAAATTTTAATTCTCCATATGTTAAAGTTATGAAGCTTACTGCTGTTATCATAGGCAGAGAAACGACTCCGAACAGCGCAAAGAGTCTCAAAGTCATCCTCGTCGTTGTCCAAATCCGGTGGAATAGCACAGACAGGCATTAAAGAAATCGGTTCCAAAGAATCACTTTGTACCGAGAACCGATTCTGCACGTTTCGGAACAGTTCAAAATCATCATCCTCGCAACCGGAATAATTCCCATCGGCGGAGACAGCGGAAGTAGAGTGACTATTGTTGCCGCCGGTATCAACGTCGAGGTCGTTAATATTGGTCCCAGCGAGGCTGCAGGCTCGCCGTAGAGCTTCCATGTCCTCATGGAATCCATCGTCCTCATTGCCGGAGGATATTTCTTCTTCATCGTCGTCGTTTTGCATTAGAACAGACATTGTGTAGTATGTTCGTTGTGTTTAGGGCTTAGGCAGAAGAATTTGAAATCAGTTGATTGTACAAGCTCGTCAGACTCTTTATTTATTTAGGGTTGCGTTTGAAGAGTGAGATCGGTGGGAGAGAAGCTCGAAACCAACCGAAATTGATGTGGTTCTATTCAATTAAACTTAAAATCTCTATTCCAATCGATAAAAAAAAAAAATTTTAAATATGAAAAATTATTATTTAGCCCCTGTGCTTTGACCAAATTTAATAATTAGGTCTATATATTTTAGTTAAATTATTATGACATCCCTAAGATTCGGTTTCATCTAACGTTTTAGTTATTTCGTCTAATTTACCTATTTTTCCATTAAAACTCCTTAAAAAGATGATAATGCCCTTAAATAAAATACCTTATAATTGTTGGAGGGAAAACAAAACATTACTTCTTTTTTCACTCAAAAACTTCCACCTTTTTACCCTGTTTTCTCCCATTTTTAGAATAGAATTTGCGTTGATCGTATGGATTTGAAGGGTTCGATCACTCCCTCTCTATTGTTTCAGAAACAAAGCATGCAAAAGAGGTTTTCATTAATGTCATTCTTTTCAAATTGAAACTTGTTTAAAACTTGTGAATAAGGCTTATAAAAATTTTTATTTTTCTTGTCTCCCTTATATATATATAAGGCTTATACAATTTTTATTTTTCTTGTCTCCGCTTCTATAATATTATATATAGTATATATATATATATATATATTATAATAATATATATATATATATTGATGAAATATTTTTTTATACCTTTTCTATGTCATATTATTATTGGCATTAACCGAATATAAGTTTTGTGAGTGAAAGTTAGATATATATTGATGAAAATTTTTTATACCTTTTATATGTCATATTATTATTGCATTAACCGAATATAAGTTTGTGAGTGAAAGTTAGAGTTTTCTCCAATATTGAATCGTGGGTTCTGTTTATTAATGGATTGCAATTTCTTTTTTCGTTTTAACTATAGGGCTACTTGATTTGCACTTGAATATGGATGCATTTGAATCTTATACATTGGAAGTTTTGTTCAAAGGTGAAGAGCGATTTACATATAATATTGACCCTGATTGTAGGGGTGTAATGCGGATGTTAATGATGATATATGGTTAAATCAGAATGTTCAAACTCAAGGTAGTAATGTGAAAAGTACAAGAGCAAGAAAAGTTGCTTTGATATCAATTGCAAACATGTAGGATAGCGTAATGGAGGAGGATAATAATTATGGTGTTTATATGAGGTATCTGGGTAGGAGAAGAGGAAGGGGTAGAGCTAGAGGTGCAGGATGGGCAAGTAATGGTGTAACAATGGGTTTTGGTAGAGGGAGGGGTAGAGCTAATTTAGAAAATAATATATTGAAGAAATGCACAATCCCGTAGCAGGGCTCCTAGATTTAGGTAGAGGAATCAAAATATGATAATAAAAGATAATTCTGATTCTGTAGGGCCAGATGACTCAAGTGATGAAAACTATGAGTGTTCTGGCAATGAAGATGAGAAGAAGAGGAATCTGTCAGCTTAACTAATGAGAGACCTTTAAGTAGCAATACATGCTTGGACGATGATATCAGGTCTAACATAAAAGGATGATGTAGATAGTGGACATGGACTTAGTGACATAGGTTTTGAGAGTAAATTATATTAGTGGTTACTTAATTTTATACTCAGTCTTATTTAGGTTACAAAATTTTAATTTGTCATTTTTTAGTCACTCAACTTTAATTTTTATTTCAACGAGAGGTCATTTACTGGAATTAGGTTATCGAAACAATAATATGACACTAAAAATTATATATATCACAAAAAAAATCATGATTATAAAGGAATATAAAAAAGAGAAGGAAAAAATGCTACAAAATATAAATAATAGAGTAAATTTTTTAATTTAAAACTTGTTTCATGTAAATGAAATTATTTATTAAATAAATTAATAGGTAGATTTCAAATTAATTTATTAGGAGAAAATACAAATTTTTTAGAAAAAAAAAATATTTTATTTTCTAATGCCATGTTAGTAATTCCGATGATGGTATTTCGGTAAGTGACCTATCGTTAAAATAAACATCAAAGTTTAGTGACTAAAAACTAACAAATTAAAGTTAAGCGACCTTATAAAATTAAATGTAAATTTAGGTGACCATTAGTATAATTTACCTTAGGTTTTGATGTTGACAAATCAATCAATTTAGAATCTGATAAAAATATAAAAGATGTATCAAGTAAGATGAAGAGAAAGAGGAATAAAAAGGATCAATTTAAGAACATGTATGAAAACCTCCATAAGGCAAATGAAGATGGGAGCAATTGATTCAAGGTTAGGCAAGTTTTCCTGGATGTTAAAAGATGTATGGATGCTTTACAAGACTATGTCGTCTAAGGAGGCTACCTGATAAAGATGGTGAAGAACAATTATGAGAGAGTCATTGTTCGTTGCCTAGAAGAAGGATGCCTTTTAGAGTTCACGCTAGCATTGGGCCTGATAAATGCAACTTCATTTTTAAAACTCTAAAATTGGAGAACATTTGCATCAAACCTCTTGCGAAAAAAAAAAATCCAAATGCAAATATACAGCGGGTTAAGAAAAAGCTAAAAGAATAATTGGCATCAGATCTTGGTATGAGTATAGAGATGATGCATGCTGAGTTAAAAAAGAAATGGGGAATTGAGCCTGGGTATTGGTGCGTTGATAGGGCTAGGAATGCAACAAAAGAGGAAGCTATAGGGTGCTAAAAAGAAAGCTATAACCAGCTCCAACAGTATATAGCTTCTTAAAAAAAAGTTAAATCTAGGTACATTTATTAAGTTTGAAACTACATCCAGGAGGAACCTTTAATATTTGGTAGTTTGTTTATATGTTCTGAGGCAATAAAGCTTGGATTTTGAAAGGTTGCAACCTTTTATTAGGCTAGATGGTTGCCATTTAAAGGGACCCTTTAGTGGTTGTATTCTAAGTGCAGTAATACTAGATGGGAAAAAGGATTTATTCTCTTTAGGTATTATAGTTCAATTTAAGAACACATCAATATGGAATTTCTTCCTTGATTGCTTGAGTTTATGCATTTGTGCTAGTAATGAAGGGGTGCCTTGGACTTTTACAACCGATAGACCAACAGTGAGCTAATTATGATTTTTTGCTTTTGATTTTCATTTGTAAAATCACTGACCTATACTTATTTGCATCGTTTAGGACCTGATTAAAGCTTTCCAAATGCATTTCATAAGTGTTGTTACTAGCACATTCTAATGAACTTCAAGAAACAATTCCTTGGAGTTATATTAAGATAAGAGTTTTGGTTATGTGCAAAGGCAAGTTTTGAATATACCTTCACTCAACATATGAAGAACATTCAAGAAAAAAATGAGGGGAAGGTATGCTCAATGGTTGCTAAACATACCTTTAGCATATTGGGCCAGACATGCCTTCTCCGCACATGCAATGAGTGAACATTGCACAAATAACATAAGTAAAAGCTTCAATTAATGGGTTAGCAAATTTAGTACAAACTTGTTAAACTCTCAAAATTTGGGGTGTAATAAATTGTGTATAAATTAGCTCTTTATAGGCTTAATTGAGAATATTTATATTGGTGGTGTAACACCCTCCGCCCAGTCCCGAGAGACCCGACGACGGATGTCACATTCGGTGCCGGAGGCACCGTCTTAACTTAACATATAAATCAGAAAATCAGCCCAGTCCCGAGAGACCGCGACGACGGATGTCAACATCGGTGCCGGAGGCACCGTCCCCTTAACTTAACATATAATCAAGGAAAATTCCTAGTAATGAATTAGAAGTGATTTAATATCACAGGTAAGTTTATACCAGTAGTTATTAATTTTTTTTTTTAAAAAAAATGAATTTGGGGAAACCTTACAGAAAAACTGCAGAGAGTTTCCCTTAAACATAGACATTGACAAACAAGTGAATGCAAAACACTCCCATTTTCAAAAACTCCAACCCCAATCAAACGCCAAAAACAACACCAATAACACTCTTCTAAAGTCTAACTCATCATTTTTCGTATGCAATCAATTAGATTAAGTTCCAATAAATAATTCAAGTTTCTTCCAATAAATTACAGCAACCCAAATTTAATTTTCCAATAATATACTAAAGTAATAAAAAAAAAAAAAAAAAAAAAAAAGAATTATACATGCCATAATTTCTTAGTTACATAACACACTAAATCAACTACCCAAATAATATCTTCAGCTTTGATGCTACCCTTCAGGTCTTCAAGCAGCTATCACAGTCTACAACCTGCGCGTGATAAACTCAACACGCTGAGTATAAAACGCAGTGGTGCTCACATATCACAAACTTACCAAAGTTGTGATGATAACATACTTAAAAACCTAAATTTCTAAAATATCAATTTTCATCAAAAGATTTACAATCATAAAATCATTAACGCTTTAATATACATTTACATTTATAACAAAATGATCAAATAACACTATTAATATTTTATTCGTTCAAATCATAAATTCATTATTTGAAATTTTAGTACACCAATACATATACTGGTTATTTCGAAAACCATGTAACGTAATATCCTGCTTTGACAATTCATTTAATAACATATAATCATTTATTTCCAAGCTACCTGAAAAATATGTTTACAAGGGCTTGTTATGAATTAATCTCAAATAATTCAATAATAACCTAGATCGTGCAAACCACTAGATTCAACAAAATAGATTGAATAAGAAAAGGTTACACAGGCACGCCCGTGCTACAGCCAAGCCCACCCATGCTAGCCGCCCTAACACAAGACACCCACGTGCCTAGCATATGATCATAGCTTCTTATCATAATGGCATCAAATGCTGAGCATGCTCATCATACATAATAAAATCAATTCACGCATCAAATTCACACAAAGTATATTACAGCCCAAAATCCTTGTTTTAATTCTTACTTCTTAACATTTCTCATAAAATTTATTTTCTGTAGTATTCATAAAATCATAATGAAAACTGAATTTAAACTAAAGTAATTCATGAAAATTCTCATACTTAAACAAAATTACTTAACATAGGAAATTTCCAGCATAAAAGCAATCTTGACCTTTGCTGGGTTTTTATATATCTCCAAATTGAATGAAATTAGATTCATTAGAAAGATAAGACACAATTCTTGAGTTATATATCTCCAAATTGAATGAAATTAGATTCATTAGAAAGATAAGACACAATTATACAATTGTTATGAAGGAACCATAACCCAGATAAATCTACAAGATAGGCAAAATAAGCTAGGAACACAGACTGATAGTCCAGACCGGATTCAGCAGAACCAAGTCCAATGTTTATTGAATTTCTCCGTAACCAGAAACTCAAATTAAACCAATACAACACCAGGGCAATCTCAAGACACAGGGTAACAAATCTCATGAAGAGCTCAACACCTAATCTTGCCATTATGGCGGTCAAAATAGTCACTCAATCTATTGCTGCATGTGGTACGTTACAACAGAGTCAGTTTAGGTGTTTTAGTCATAAGTTGAGCTATATATATCAAAATTGGGACACAAGAGGATTGGGGTTTGGAAAAGCTAAGAAGTAATACCTACAACTTTCCATGAAGGACCTCAAATACAGAGGGGAAAATAAACGAATAGAAAAACAGTTCCCTTTAAACACACCACCATTAACATTTTCCCTGGTAAAAAAAATTCCTGCCACCTCTCTTGGAAGAAGAAGAGGAAAATGTTTTCCACTTCAATCAAACATGTGATCATGCTTAGAAATCACCCAAGAGCATGTTTATACAACCAAGGTTCGATAATTCAAATCATTTCATACAAAATCTAAAATATACACATAATAGCATAAATGCACAAAATAAAGAATTGAAGTAAGGTTAGTGTGTTTATGAACACTAACCTTAAACACAAGGTTTAACAAGCTTAAATCAAACTCTTTAAGCCATTGCTTTGCCTTTCTCTTCGCTGGAAGGTTCTCCACCCTCTAAGTGTAAGAAACTCAAAATCAAAACAAAGAAAACAAATAACAGAAGAAATTGGAGCATGATTAAGCATGTATATGCTAAAAGAAAACTCTAAACCCAAAAATAATGAGGTTATCATGAAATCACTTACTTGACCCAAGTAGGAAAATCTCCAAATTTCTTGAAATTAAATCCCTAAAACCCCTTCTCGAAGCTTAAATCTCTAGATTTTTCTTACTTTAATTCAAGTAAATGGAGTGATGGAGTGAATTTGGTGAATTATTCAAGTAGAAAATGGAGAATCAAGTTTAATGGTGTAAATTTGGTGAGTTTACCATGTAGAAATTGAAGGAAAAACAAAAAGAAGAAGGGAGAGGAAGTTCACGTTGGAAATGGAGGAGGAGAAGAAAAAGAAGAAGTGTTGCTCAATTATTTGAGCAACAAGGGTAGTTTAGTATTTTCACCATAATTGGATGGCTAGGATTGAATCAATCTAATGGCTAAAAATTATTCTCCAATTAATGTCCTTCAAAATATTATTTATCTCCATAAAAAGTCTCAAATTTAATCCTTAAAAATAATTCTTCTAATTTCCTTAATTAATATAACACCATCTCAAATTTAATCCTTAAAAATATTGCCTCTAAAACTATTGCCTCTAATTTCCTTAATTAATATCACATCTTAAGTTACTACTCACTAATTCTCTAAAATTCTCCAAAAATATTCACTACTTACTTTCTACCCATAAAAATCATGCATGCATGCTCCAAAAATGTAACATAAAATATTAACCATATATAATAATTTTTCTGGACCAAAATAATACCGACTCCCGGACCGACAATACTATTCACAGACAGATAAACTACTATTCACAGACCGGTAACTTACTATTTTAGACACAGAAAAATGGGGCGTTACAGTTCTTCCCCCCTTAAAGAATTTCATCCTCGAAATTCACCTGAATTAAACAACTGAGGATGTTGTTGTCTCGTAATGTCTTCACTTTCCCATGTAGCTTCTTCGGTCTTATGGTTTCTCCAAAGAACCTTTACCAAAGGAATTCTTTTATTCCTTAGTTCCTTGATTTCCCTAGCAACTATCTTCACTGGTTCTTCCTCATAAGTTAAATCTGGATCAATAGTAATAGATTCAACTGTTATCACATGTGATGGGTCGGACCGATACCTCCTCAACATAGATACGTGGAAAACATTATGTATCCTATCCAGGTCTGGTGGTAAAGCTAGTCTTTAGGCCAATGGACCCACACGCTCAATGATCCGCTCAATGATCTCATATGGACCAATGAACCTAGGACTAAGCTTACCCTTTCTTCTCAAAAATCTCAATATCTTTTTCCCACGGAGATAAAAACCTTATCTCCCACTGCATACTCTATATCTTTCCTCTTCAAATCCACATAAGATTTTTGACGATCTGAAGCTGCTTTCAATCTATCTCTGATAATTTTGACCTTTTCCTCTGTATCTCGAATCAAATTCGGACCTACCATCTTGCCCTCACTCAATTCTGACCAACACAGTGGAGTCTTACATCTCCTACCATATAGTGCTTCAAAAGGGGCCATCTGAATACTCGACTGATAACTGTTATTATAGGAAATTCTACAAGTCGAATGTACTTCTCCCAACTGCCCTCAAACTCAATAGCACAAGCTCTTAACATATCCTCCAAAATCTGAATAACCCGCTCCTCTCAAAATCTGAATAACCCGCTCTGACTGAACCCATCCTGTCTGAGGATGAAAAGCTTGCGAAAATTCAATGCTTGGTACCGCGCCAGGGCCTCATGTAGCTTCTTCCAAAACCAAAATCTAGAAGTAAATCTCGGATCTCTATCTGAAATGATGGATGAAGGAACTCCATGCAATCTCACTATCTCATCTATATAAAGCTCTGCAAACTGCTCCATGGTGAAGTCGGTTCTAACAGGAAGAAAGTGTGCTGACTTAGTTAGTCTGTCAACTATTACCCATATAGCATTTTTCTTTTTAGGAGTTAAAGGCAATCTAGTCACAAAATCCATTGTAACCTTATCCCATTTCCACTCTGGAATCGCAGTAGGGTGTAACAAACCAGAAGGAAACTGGTGCTCTGCTTTAACTTGCTGGCACGTCAACCATGTCAAACTACCTCGACACATAATTTGTGGATCTGTCCCTCTTCATCGCATAATCTGTGATATCCCTCTTCATCGTCGGCCACCAATATTGTGATTTCAAAACCTGATACATTTTATTACTGCCAGGATGCATAGCATATGGACTACTATGAGCTTCCTTTAAGATACTCTTTCTCAACTCTGAACTTTTAGGCACACAAATTCTGTCCCCAAAGTACAAGCAGTCGTCATTTTTAATCATAAATCTCTTTTTCTTTCCCTCTCTGGTTAAGTCTTTCCACAAGGCAATAGTCTCATCATCCTTTTGTGCATCTAGAATTTGCTGAAGTAGGCTAAGTCTAATCACAAGCTCTGCCACAAGTGCACCATTACTAGCTACAGATAATCGAGTATTCATAGCACGTAAAGCAACCAAGGATTTCCTACTAAGTGCATCTGCTACCACATACCAAACATTCGCTTTACTGGATGGTAATGAAATGGTTAGAAAAAAGAAGTCATAGTCTTTAAGCAGCTCTAACCGATCTACGTTGTCTCAAGATTAAGCTCCTTTTGAAGTAGCAGAATACTTTGAAGACGATCTTATGAAATCTGTATACAGATGACAATTTTTCTCACCATATAAAGTTAATGCTCCAAATCCTTAAAGCGAAGACTATAGCTGCTAACTCCAATCATGAGTAGGGTATTCTTCTATGTGGTTTAAAAGCTGTCTAGAAGCATAAAAGCACTACCTAACTCTCCTGCATAAGCACACAACCCCAATCCATTATGCGAAGCATCCACTATATCACATTTTTCATACGGTCTACCCGAAACTAGCTGTGTCAACACTGGAGCCCTCAAGTAAGATCGTCTTAAGCTTTCAAAACTATTCTGACATTTAATCAGTCCAACTCGAATCCTGACAATCTTTTTTGAAGAAGTCTAGTCAAAGGAGCATGGCAATGAGAGAAAATACCTTTATAAATCTCTATAATAACCAGCCAATCCTAAGAAACTCCGAATCTCTGTAAACATTCTTAGGTGGCCTTCCATTGAAGCAACTGCCTCTATCTCTTCGGATCAACCTCTAATACCCCAGCAGAAATAATGTGACCCAAAAAAAGTAATCTCAGACAACCAGAATCACACTTACTCAACTTAGCACATACAACTGTTCTCTTCAATATTTGAAGTACAATTCTCAAATGTGTGATAATGATCCTCTCTAGTCCGAGATATACAAGATATCAATCATGAACACAACTACAAACTGATCTAGAGTAAGGATGAAAAATCCGGTTCATCAAAATCGCAATGAAAACTGCAAGGAGCATTCGTCACACCAAACGGCATTACAAAGAACATTAGTGACCATAACGTGTCCGCATAAAAGCAAGTTTAGGTACATCTGATTTCCTTAACCCCAGCTGGTGATAACCCGATCTCAGATCTTTATCTTTGAGAACACGCTAGATCCTCTTCAACTGATCAACAAATCATGATATCCAGTGCAATGGACTATCGATTTTTCAACTTTTAACTTTTATTAAGTTTCTGGTGAATCAATAACACAATCTTAAGTGATCCATGCCTTCTGCTTTAACAAAACAATACTGGAGCTACCCCATGGAGATACACTAGAAACGAATGACCCCTTACAAGTAACTCCTGAATCCTGTAATCTTTAACTCTTTCAACTCAGTAGTGAGCCATCCGATATGGAGCAATGGATATCGGTGCAGTACCAGGCATGAACCTCAATACCAAACTCAACCCTCTCTCTGAAGGAGGTAACCCAGGGCAACTGCCTCTGGAAACACATCCGAAAAATCACATACTATGGGTATATCATGTAACCAGGGGATTCTGATCTCTGGACCTAAGGTAACACAGGGCTAAGTATGCCCTCACAGACCATGGCTGGGATCAGTCCTTCCTAGCAGTAGAAGCAGAAATACATTAGAGAGGTAAATCAGACCTCTCACCCA